TAGTCTTGTGCCATGGCTTACCAGAAGACACCATTGTCATGCCGGTACATGTCAAATCATGGTAAACGTCGACTGATCACCTCTGAGGGATTCTGTTCAGCATACTGGGTGGTCCTAGAGGGATGACAGCTGAGGAGGATGTTGGGTCACGGACATGTCTGTCTAATACTGTCACTGGGGTCTGAGACCACTAAGAGAGTTGCATCACACACCGTCACACAGGGCGGTGAAGGGAGATGCTCAGGCCTCTGGCGTGGAACGCTGCGTCTACAAGGAAATGTGAGGTCCCTGTCATCACAACCTCCCATAACTCCTCTGCAGGCCACCTAAGCTAAAGGGAGGCGTGGCTCGTTCTAACGCTGTGCGGCAAAGCACCGGAAAGCCGGGTGGCAACAGCTTACGCTGTGGCTGGACCGTGGTCATCAAAACCCGCAGAGAATACCAGAGCGGTGACCAGGGATGTGCTCCCCACTGGGTGACACTACTGGTGTGCACAGAAGCCATTTTCCAGCCGCAGGAGAATGAGCAATGGCACAGTGAAGATAAGTCACTCAAAATCCCCAAGTGGAGACGTTTCTTAGAGGTGAGCTTCGCCCCCCGTCTGCTGAGACAGAGCCTTGACATGGGGAGCAACAGCCAATAGTAAGCTGAGCAGTGCTGGAGCCAGCTCTGGAGGACCCTCGGACAACTCCATCTCCTGAGACCTGGGAGGGAGTAGGGGTCCCCCCACAGCCCTTCCCTGGAACTCTACCCTGGACATACATTCAGCTGTGAGGTGAAAGGTCTTATGGGGAGAAGGAGACTCTTTTCCCAACATTTTCAGCTCTGATATGTGTGTGTGTGCACATGTGAGTGTGTATGTATGTGACTTTGTATGAATTCACATCTTTGTGGACTCCTATGTGTTTGTGTGCGTATTTGTGTATGTGCCTGTATGTATGTGTGTGTGTGTGTGTGTGTTCATGTGTGGGTGCATTGTGTGTCTGTATGTGTGCATGTTGTGGTCTCCAGTTCCTTAGAAAAACTCTCCATCTTCAAACCTTCTTTTGATTGTGTGGTATTCTTGTCCCAGAGAGCATAGGCCAGCTCAGCGCACATGCGCATGCTCACACAGACACGCACACAGACACATACATACACACAGATATACAGACAGACACACACACATACACACACACACACACACACAACTGTTGCCCTGGCGAGGGCTGCTCCTCAGAGGCTTCTTGGTGCCCTTCTTCAAAGCCCTGAGACACCTTTCTCGAGGAATGCATCTCCAGAGCTGGCCCTGTGGCCATTGAGTGGCCTCAGGACCACACTGGACACATTTGGGCAATGTTGGGGGCTCATGTTTTCATTGCATCATACAGTTAACCCGAAACTCAGTGAGAACAAGAAAAACTGCTCAAATCATAAAATGATAGATTTCAAGTCATTATGTTTTCCTTGTATTTTTGAATGAGCATTAAAATTCATCTCTGGGAACTGTTGAACAGCAAATGAACAAAACCCCATAACAGTCTTAATCCTTCTCCTTAACATGTGCACCAGAGGGTGCTGTGCTGTGGGTCTGACCGGGAATATTAACCATTCCAAAACACATTTAGGTTTCGCTTTCACAGAAAGGAAAGATCCTTGCTGGAGATTTCTGCTTCCCTCTAGAAGGAAAAACATGATACTGTTTTAAGCGGCAGCAGCGGCAGGGGGGAGCATTGGAAATATGTGATGTGGTGCTTTTACCAACTGTCTAAATAAAGGTTTAGTGAGTCACTGTGGAAAACAGAAAATCTTTATTTTAAGAACAGCAGTTTAAGAGTGCTTTTTCTTCCTCTCCCTCCCTCCTTCCTCCCTCTCTCCCTCCCTCCCTCCCTCCCTCCCTTCCTCCCTTCTTTTTCTTCTTTCTTGCCTTTTTTCTTCTTTTTTTTTTTAATGCAAAAACTTCCCGTAGCTTTGCAACTTAACCCTTGCCCATCTGCTGGATATTCCTGGCCTGAATTTACAGCAAATCTGAGATTTCATTTTTAAAGAATGATGTGCTTTAGAAATCTGCTTGTTTGACCAGCAGCAGCTCTGAGATGAGGAACATGGTGCTTCATCCTGATAGCCTCACTGTCTTACTCAGAAGGCGCTTTTGCCCTTGGCCTCCACGGTTGACCTTGGCCCACCATCCGGTAGCACATACACTGAAAGGGGATGCAAGGAGGCTGTGTCCTAACCCAGGCCTCCCACTGCTCTCTGAATCCTATAGGAGGAGCCTGGAGTCTAGTCATTTCAGGCTGACTTTGTTCACTGATGGACTCCCAGCAAGCTGGCTGCCCCAGGATCCTCTGCACACCGCTGTTGCCTCGGGCTGAACACCTCCCAGCCTAAGGCTGGCCCTGATCCTTTTGTTTCTTACTAGAACAAACCCTGGGCTTCCCTCTCACTCAGTACATGCCCTTCAATGGCTCCAGTCAAAATGTCACCACCTCAGTATGCTGAGTTACACCTACAAATTAGAAATGATTGTCCCAACTTCAGAAATTATGTCCAAGTATATCCAAGTGTGAGCTGCCAAGGCCTACATTGTTTTTATATCTCCCAGCTTGTCTTTCTGTATTGGGTTTGGTTATTAATGAACTCATCCACTTTGGTAAACACGAGTTTTTCTAACCACATCTATAAAAGTATTTAATGCACTTCCCTAAGCAAGGCATCTCACAGTCATAGTAATTGCAGCTTTACTAGACCTTTAAATGAAGTTTTGATATGGCGAGCTGATTAGACGAGTTAGACATAAAGACACAGTTTATAGGGGCTGTATACCCGTGTGTTCCCTCATACCAGTCACAGCAGAGAGAGGAAATCCTGTGAGACGCACACCTTTATGCCACTTACAGGTTGCAAGCAGCAAAGAGAGAAAAATGCTGGATTTTTACAAGAAAACAATATTCATAAATCTCCCACTGTGAGTTACAGGATAACTCAGGACTGTCTTTGCTCTGCTGCATCAATCTGTTTTCAGTGTGGAAATGGTAAGCACGAAGTGGGCCACGCCCATCACACACTTGCCAGAGTTTACCTCCAATGTACAGCGGACCCTCAGAACCACTTCTGAAATGCCGCAGACCCGGCCCGTCCTGGGGGTTTTATTTTCTCCCCAAATGATCTTCTTGTGCTCTGTGCTGAAGACCACCTGTCCTTCCCACACGGTGTGAGGTGCCCATACCTCGAACCAGTCTCTAAGGGAGGTGGTCCTGTGGGGCTGGCTGTGGGAGCATGGTTGGGCAGCCTTTCATTCCACTGACAGCACAGTGTTTGTGAGTGGCACACAGACACAGACACACAGACACACACACACACACATCTTCTAGATGCCCCTTTCACCCATTTAAATGATATAGAGACATTCATTTTTCAAAGTTTTTGTTTGCTGTTTTTTTGCCCGCAGAAAGATCCATTTTCTTCCGTGTATTCCTTGTGTGGAGTGTTAGATTCTGAAAAGCATGGAGCCCACAGCCTCGTGAGACCCTTCTGCCTGCACACTACTTATCAGTTTCTGACCTGACCTCTGAGGCCACCAGTCTCTGAGGTCAGACTCTTTACCGTGTGATAGAGCCCACCGTGGGAGCGGTCCCTATGGAACTGTTAGATGCAGCCCTCCCCCAAAATGTGCCTTTCAAGGTCTTTAATCTTAGAATCCCATTTTCTTCTCATCTTTTTCCTGTTCAGGGGGAGAGATGGTCCTGTCATCCCCAAGTCCCCAATCTCTTGTCAGCACACAGCCAAGGGCATGTGCATGATGTTCTACCAATCCAGTTGATTCCAGATCCTTACTCCTTGCATTTGGGAGGTCAGGGCAGCTCTGCCTGCACTGTCCAGATGCCCAAGGACAAAGCCCCTATTTAGAAGCTTCATGGGGTGCTGCCAGAGCTCAGCTCCTTAAGAATCCATTTGCTCAAGACTGAACAAAAGCAGACCTCTTTTCCTATCCATGTGGGACTCCAAATGTAGATCTGCAAGCCCTCTAAGATGCTCTCATGCCACGAGATGCAAGAAATGAAGAGTGGGCCTTCCTCTTGGGGTCAGGGGCCGAGAGCCCAGTATCAACCAGGACATAGTAAGTAGAAGAACACCAAGAGAGACCCATGTTCCAGAGGCCAGGCAGGAGATGTGCAGAAAGATTAGGGTTAGCTGTCCTTTGGGATAGCCCAGTGAAGATAGTCACAGCCCCCAGAGGCACAATTATCTCGCCATCATCTACCACATATAGAAAATTGGTGCTCAGGACTGGGGCTCATATGGAGGCAGGGAGGTATGAACCCTATTCCCAGGAGAGTCACTGATCTGTGCTGGTCCATACATAGGCAGTGCAGCAGCTTAGGGATCTCGTAAGGATATGGATGCCACACATTTCCACAACTTGAGTCCTGTGCTGATGAGGACTCCTCCTATAGATAGATCTCCAAGAGAGCTTCAGTAATTCGGGGAATGGTAGGGCCTCCCCCTCCCGCCCTAGAGGCAGGCCATGTCCCACTCTGCTCCTCGGAGTGGTCCCAGCTTGGGTAGAGTACCAGGGTCATCCAGTAGCTGTCAAATGTCTCTCTGTGTGGTTTCTTCAGGACATAGCTTCTAAGGCCACAGTCTCAGGACTTCTCTCTGGAGAGAGCTAAAGTAGGCAGAGTATACCCCAAAAAGTGTGGGGGGGAGTGTGGAGGTGTATGAGAGCAGGTGTGTGTGTGTGTGTGTGTGTGTGTGTGTGTGTGTGTGTGCTGTGTGTACGTGAAGTCATCTGTGAGTGAAGGTATGCTGCATATGTGCATATATGTGAATGTATGTGCATAAGTGTGTGTGTCTGTGTGAGAATATCTGTGTGTATTTGTCCGCTTTGGGAGTGTTGTTTGTAATCCTGTGAATGTAAGTGTGTGTGGACTATGTTTCTCTGTGTTTCCGACTGTGTCTGAGAGTGTACCGTGTTGATCTCTCTGTGCGTGGTGCACTGTATGAATGTGAATGTGTGTATCCATTTCTCTCAAGCATACCCCTGTATGTCTCTGTGTATTTTCCTGTGTGTGTCCTTGACAAGGCTGACGGAAGTATGCACCTCACCACACCTTATAGTCCCTTAAGGAAGAAGTAGAGGTTTGTAATGATGAACACGTCAGGCCAGGCACAGTAGCCCATGCCTGGAATCCCAACTGCTCGAGAGGCAGAGGGATGAAGATTCCAAGTTCGAGATCTGCCTGGGTGACATTGCAGGTTAAATGCATCATGAACAGTTAACTAACTGAAGCTAACCGACTGAGACCCTAGGATGTAGCTTAGTGGTCAGCGCTCACCTCGCTTTCATGAGGCAGGGAAGGTTCTGGCTTCAGTCCAAGCCTCAGGACCACCCAAAGCAAAAAAGTCCATGTTAGAACAGGGCTCCTTATCATTGCCTCTGTTCTGTTTTTCTCAGGCAAAAACTTTTTTTTCTGGGGCTGGAGAGAAGTGGTGTTCTTACAAAGGACCTGAGCCAGGTTCCTGACACTCCCAAATGGGCAGCTCACAACCACCTGCATCTCCAGCTCCAAGGGATCCATCACCTTCTCTTAGCCTCACAGTCACCCCTCCCCCATACACATAATTTTTTTTTTAAAAAAAAAAAAATGTTTTCCTTCATGAGCTGTTGGCATTTAGTTGTCACCCAGCATGTACTCCACAACTCTCTTGACCCTTGTCTGGGGGCAGAGTCTCAAGAACACGAGACTCACGGAAACCTCTGTCCACCCCCTCACTCTAACTCTGATGTCTCGGTCTTGCTGCTTTTGCAGAGCTGCCTGGTCCCCCTACAGGCTGTATCCGGGGTGCCCATGGCTCCACAGTGTGGACTCCACCCAGACCTAGGTTCACACGGCACCTGCCACCAGCTTCTGTGAGACATCAGGGATGCGCAGAACCCAGAGGGGTCCAGCTGGTCTCATGCCCAACATTCAAGACAGTGCAGAGGAGTCCCAGATTTGGTCAGCCATACCGTGGCTGCCGGCATGACACACGTCCCTTCAGGGCCCCAACCAAGTCATAGAGGCTTACCTGAGGCCGTCAGCTAGGGAGTCCTATTGGAGAGGTGGAAGAGAACCAGGAAAGGGAATCCCAGGAGTGAAAACACCATCTGTTGGATGTGAGGAAGGAAAAGTGGGGCTCTAAGGAGGAAGACAAGGTCTTGAGAGGTCAGACTTCACGAGGAGGCCATGGTCTCATCTCCTTTTGAAGAACACATAGAGTGCTTGGGAACCCCGAGTGAAGTCCTTGAACTGGGCTTCATTTGGCCATGGCCCCCAGGCCGTGATGGGACACCCTGTGAGTATTTGTGTGTGAGGGCGTCTTGTGTCTAGGTATTGCAGGGGTTTTTGTTTTTTAGATGCAACTAACTTTTAAAACAAGCTAAGTGGGTGCTCCTCCACAGAGACAGGCTTATTCCAGACAAACTAGTAAGAATCACCATGTGTCTCTTCATGGGTCTCCTGCTGCTGTTCCAGACTCCAGCCTTGGCCATTACAAATGCCAGTCCCTTAAATGTATCCCCAATTGCTCACAAAATGAAGTATGTTTTATGGCTTCGGAAGACCTGAAATCATCATCCCAAATCAGAAAACTTCTATTTAGTTTCTGTAGCATGAATTTTTTTTTTTTTTTGAGACAGGGTTTCTCTGTGTAGCTTTGGAGCCTGTCCTGGAACTCACTTTGTAGACCAGGCTGGCCTCGAACTTACAGAGATCCACCTGGCTCTACCTCCCAAGTGCTGGGATTAAAGGCGTGCGCCACCACTGCCTGGTTAGTAACATGAATCTTAAAAGTTCTTATTAATAAAAACAAACCTGGAGCCAGGTATTGGGGTGAATGCTGAAAGATCAGAGAAATAGAACAAGCCACAGCTAACCTCACCTTGCCAGTTCCTCAGCTGATCCTGTTTTCTCAGACTGGAAGCCTCTAAGTCCTCATCCAAATGGATCTCAACTGAACTGCTGCTAAAAGCCAAAATGCTTAACCAGGCTCTAGTTCCTAGTCCTCACACCTTATATACCTTTCTGCTTCCTGCCATCACTTCCTGGGATTAGAGGTGTGAGTCACCACACCTGACTGTTTCCATTGTGGCCTTGAACTCACAGAGATCCAGACAGATCTCTGCCTCCTGAATGATAGGATTAAAGGCGTGTGTGCTCCCACTTCCTAAACCTATGCTTAATATAGTGGCTGTTCTGTTCTCAGACCCCTAGATAAGTTTATTGAGGTGCACAATATATCAACCACAAGTTTCAGCTGTTCATTCCAAAGAGACCCCATGGATTTGCCTGGTGTCTGGAGTGGTGAATGGCAGAGACACTTGCCTTTCAGACCTTACCTTTCAAGTTGCCTTCTGACTCCAAGCTGTTAAGAAAAGAAACACTTCTAAAGAGCTAGTGCACACACATACATATTCATGGATAGTACATGCCCCTGAATTCAGTACATACATGTACTCATGCCCCTGAATTCAGATTGAAGGAGTATTTTCCAACAGAAGTCAAGCTTGCAAAAGGAATGCATGTGGCTGCCATGTGTGAAAGTATGGCATTAATAATTAAGCCATGCGATCATTACCTCAGGATATTATTTCTTAAATATCTCTTGCAAAGGCAATATGATTACATATGAATGATATCAATTTTCTACCAACAAAAAAAATCTGCAGAAATAGGAATTGAATTACACTGTCCAATTTGCTGTAAAGTTCACTGTATGTGAAGAAATTAATCAAAGCTACCACCACCCATTTTTATGGGGACATAAAATGATGTGAACTTCCATTTTTAATAAAGATGCATAGTACTTTTATGAAGACTGACTAATAATACTATAATGAACTGAAAAGCTACCAATACACTAAGAATAAAAATGTTGAGGTGTGTATTTGCAGAGACGTTGTGTGTAAGGCGAGGTTCTTCTGAAGTCTGTTTGAAATCGCTACAACACAGAAGCTCAGTGCAAGCTCGGGATGGGTGTTCTGCAAATTTATCCTCGGGATGTGGGGATGCTCGCGGAATGCACGTGTTTGGAGAATAGCGTTCCTGCTTCATCAACCCCAACATGAGTGGGCACCTGGGAAAGCACACCCCTCCTTTCCATCCTTGTCCTCCACCCCTTCACTCTTTAGAGCAGAGACAATCCACCAGGGTCCCGGGACAGAGACTCCTGGGGGACAATGGCAATGGGGACTTACCTCTGGTGGCAGCAGGGTCAGTGGCACCTCAGCTCCCTGTGAGATGCCTTTGTCCCCATCCCCAGGCTTGGATAGGACACAGCACGAGCTTTTGACTTTTTCTTTGTTGTTGTCCTATTAGGACAATACCACAGATTGGATCATTTATAAGGGAAAAAAAATGACTTCTATGGCTCCAAAGACTGGGAAATCCAAGGTCAGAGTGCCTTCAGGTCCGGTGTTCAGTGAGGGCTGCTTTCTCCTTTCAAGATGGTGCCTTGGATGCAGCAACCCTCTACAAGGGATGCTGTGTCCTCTCATGGTAGAGGACAAAGGGCAAAGGACCAACTCCCTGTCTCAGGCTCCTTTTCACCAAAGTCAATCTATCCACAAAGGCTAAAGCATCCTCGGAGGCCCACCCTTTCCATACCACCAGGAACTGAGTTTCTGGTATGTACATTTGAGGTATGTTCAGATCATAGCAAGTGGCCATGCAGATATTTCTATGAATTGTGAAGAACACACCAGTTAGTAACTCTGGGCACACAGAAGCAGCTTGCCCCCCAGTAATTTTGAGATGTCTTCAGGATCAGAATGCTATGAAATCCGTATCTCAGTGGGCCTGAGGAAGATTGCCCTATACCAAGGACTCTATGCATGAAGCTCAAGGAATACCAGGGAATACCATTAAAGGAATGTGAACAGTCTCCTCCACACTGTGTGTGTGTGTGTGTGTGTGTGTGTGTGTGTGTGTGTGTGTGTGCAGGTGTGCATGCCATGTGCACAAATATGTATGTAAGTGAGAGGTTGACACTGGGTTTCATTAGGTCTCTCGTTGAACCTGAAATTCACTGATGTAACTAGTCTGTGTGGCTGGTAAACTCCCAGGATGCTCCTGTGTCTCTCCCAGGCATTGAGATTGCAGACATCTGCCTGCCCGTCATGGCTTTCCCCACATGGTTACAGGGGTTGGAATTCATGACCTCACATTTGTACAAGCTTTTTACTGATTGCACCATCTCCCCACACATTGAAATGGCCATTTCTTCTCTCTCTCTCTCTCTCTCTCTCTCTCTCTCTCTCTCTCTCTCTCTCT